TTGCCTTTTATTTTTCTATTACACTTCATTACCCAGCAGTCATGTGCGTAATACAGCTTAACAACTTCCCCCACACGCACTGGAGTGAATTTAGTATAAGGAAAGGTGTTGGATTGACAGCCCAAGGCTATAGTGTCACTGGAGAATGGAGCTATTGGTACTTTAATTGGTAGGACTGTACTACAGTAAATTAACAGAAATTGGCAGCAAGGGGCCTATAGCAATGACATGTTGGTAAAATTGGCTCAGAAAGTCTCATTACAGTTGTGAGCTATTATGGAGAACGTCAGCAGTTGCTGTGATTTAAGATCTCTTTCAATTAGAATGTAAAACTATTGGGTTTCCCTTAACTCATGTCCAGAGTTTCTCTTGCTGGAAAACGTGGTATCCAAGTACAACTATCCCTGCATCCTGGACCTGAAGATGGGGACCCGGCAGCACGGAGACGACGCCTCGGAGGAGAAGAAAGCCCGGCACATCAAGAAGTGCGAGCAGAGCACCTCGGCCTCGCTGGGCGTCCGCATCTGCGGAATGCAGGTACGGTGCAGCTCCAACACGGCTGCAAAGCCGCAGGACCCTTTCCCTCCACTGCCTGAACGGAGGTCGTTTCATTCCTGTTTTCCACTGAGTTTCTGGCCACTTCACCACATTATGCTGTCCTCAACCAGGAGGGATACCTAGGGGTATAACAATATGGCATATAGAGGGTAATCCGGTAATCCTTCCCTCATATCCCCTCTTCGTCTTACAGAGATCTGGGTGCCTTCCTAAATGGGCCCTGCACAGGGTTGGCCACGTTCAATAGCCACTGATATGAACAGCCGAGAGCCATTTAGAGCTGCTGAGGATCTGCCTGTACAGGCAGCCAAACTCTCACCCCATGCTCAGCTCTGGAGTGATGCACAAAAAGAAAAGCAAAAAGCAAATGCAAATGCAAAAAAAAAAAAAAAAGAATAACTTGTCATGCTCATTCCTTCACGGAGCTGTCTCATTTGATCAGTTCACATGTGAGGGGTTTGTTTTGTGCTGTTATGGTGCCTCTTGATCAAAATCGCTAGAAACCGAAACCCTGTATTTGCTCCACTTGCACTTCCCAAGCAGCTTTCAAAATGTTTTTCTCCTGTGCCTGAAGGATAATTATGACAATGATTATAAAGCACATATATGGTGGTATAAACAGTGGTGTCAAAAACTGTGCTCCTTCCTGGTCTTTGATACGCTTCTCTTGCATAGATTTTCCCTTAAATTACAACTGGCGCATGAGCTGAATCCACTCCCCCATTCTTCCAGTGTTAACAGATCTTCACAAATACCTGCCTGTGTATTTCTGAATTTCTATGTTTAAAAAAAAAGCAAAATTATTGCTGTCCGTGTGCTGCATACTGAGAGAAGGTGCAAGAGCAGGATCATTCCTGTACTGCTGCAGCCTCCTAACAGAGACAGAGGGAGAATGCTCTAAATCACTCGTGACGTGCCTGTGACTTATAGCTGCACGGGTTTCACGAAGCAGCAATTTATAGCAGTACAGCAAGAATCTGCACCAGTGCTTTAAATTGAATAGTCTAAATCTCCAGAAAAGACAGGGGTGGGATTCAGTGGGAAGCTGGCAGTACCTTGCCGCAGAGGCCCTGTGTCTCCCATTTCTCAGCCTGGCTTTGAAGTTTTTCCATCGAGATTGAGTCTAGAATGCTGGAAAACTGAACAATAAGCCACGCATGGAATTCAGATTGTTGTTCTTTTTCTTCAAGGTGTATCAAGCTGAAACTGGGCACTTTCTCTGCAAAGATAAATATTATGGAAGAAAACTCTCCCCCGAAGGATTCAGGCAAACCCTGCGCCAGTTCCTTTGCAACGGCAACCGCCTCAGAACTGATCTCTTGGAGCCCATCATCCTGCAGCTCAAGGCTCTGCTCTCGGTCATCAGGAAGCAGAGCTCCTACAGGTTCTACTCCAGCTCCCTCCTCATCATCTATGACGGGCTGGAGAGCAAGGAGAGCGCAGCTTCCCTGGATCATCAGCTGCAGGGGCACTTCCAAACTGCAAACTGCCCCACGGCGCACGGCGCTGGCCACGCCAAGGTGGACGTCCGCATGATAGACTTTGCTCACACCACCTTTAAAGGCTCCAAATGCAACCACACCACTTACGACGGGCCCGACCACGGCTACATTTTTGGTCTAGAGAATCTCATCAAAATCCTTCAGAATATCTCCGAAGGAAAATGACAAATTATGTGAAATAGCCTGGATTTACTAGTCGTATTCCTGGAAAGTACTGCATTGGGTCAGTTGTATGGGACCCTCACAGCTGCTAAATGTCACGTGCACGGTTTGGAATGAGAGCATGGACAGCTTGCTAGGAAAGTGCAAAAATGCTACGTGCCATTACTGAACTCAAGCGTAAAAAGCAAAGAGCTGAAAGAATCTGTTCTGTCTGCAGTGAATCAGAAGATTTATTTTCCTTTCTTGTTTTACTGCTGTCCTTGATTTATTTGTGAGCCTGAAGAAAGCATTACTTGAAAGAGTCTTAATGATAAAGCAGGACCTGCTCACCTCCACCACGCTCAAAACCAGGCGGGCTAAGGGGATATTGTGCGTTCGAGTGAGACTGTTTGAAGGAGCTGGCAGCTCTTAGCGGATTGCAGGACTCCTTTCACCGCGCTCGGGTGCTGCGGGCTGAGCACACTCACAGGCACAAGCAGAACAAAATCAAACGCCCGACGTTCCTGGGAGAGACGCCCAGTGTGGCAGGACGGGGGGGTTGTTCTCCACACCGCACAGGCAACGGACTCCGCTGAACCTTAACATATAAAGATACCTAAATAAATATAAATGTAAAATACATTAGATGCTGCAGAGGTCCCAGCTCTAGAGAAGTTTGGTGTGAAAGCAGGTGGACCTCCGACCAAGAACCGCGCGTTGCCGAGGTTCAACATCCCTGCAGGACATAACAGGGCATGTTGCAGCGTTTTTTTTTTAAAGCAAGGGCTCCACAGGAGCTGAAACTAAGGGAATGCAATGATTCTGCCAGATACTAGTCATGAAAACATTCACATCAAGGTATTTTTGCTTCAAAAAGCATGTGAGATTGAGTCAGGAACTAGATATTAAAGGTCACCTAGAAATTCCTTTGTAAAAGTATTGTGTGTGTGTTTGGAGGAGACAATAACAACAACAAAAAAACTTGATACAACAATGTTTACAGCTTTTGTGGACAGATTTTAATGATGGAGCAACAATGTAATTCCTTCCTGCATGGTGTGGGAAACCTGAAGGAGAAATCCTTACACAAGGAATAGAGCTACAGCACCCAGCTATGGGGAGTACAAATAAAATTGTCTAAGTAACCGGCACTCGTTTTCCATCTTTTTCCCCCCTCACCTCCAGAGCATCCTTAGGTTATGTTACCTCGTGTTTATAGCTGTGTGTTTTGAAAAGTGCCACTATTTCCACAGGTTTAAATACCAGATCTCAAGAGAGATCCTTTCACTTGTATTTTACTGCATACAGCTGGTGAATTGCTACAGTTTATGGCTTAAGTCATGTGGCCCAGTTGCATATTTTACTTGGCCTAAACTGCACGTGGGAAGAGCTCACTATTTACTGGACCTTATTCACAACTTTGCATATTTCTTGCCTACACACTAACTCCAAAAAGCCACATTATGCCTCAGTTGTGAATAGGTCAAGCCTTGCAATGCTCCGTGCACTGCAGTCCTGCATCAAGGCTGGCCCGGGCGGACACAGCCCTGCTGGGTCCCTTTGCAGGTGAAGGGACAACGATGGAGCAGCCAGGCCACCAACTCCTCTTGGGGCTGCTTCACCTGCCAATTTTCCCTGAAAGAATGAGGGAAAAAAAGCCATCCTGGCTGCTTGCAAAGCAGCAGCGGGAAACAGGCTGCTCCCTCCCTTTATGGCCCTTATACATATAAAATATTTATCTAATCTTTCGCCTGCAGAGGGGAGGAGCGCCGAGCCAGAGCACAACCTTATGCACCGCAAGCGGAGAAGGGCGGAGGGGAGAAAACTCGCCAGGTCTTCCCAGGATGGGAAACGGCCGGGAATGGAGCCGTGCGGGGGCTGCCGGGCCGAGGCTCCCCGCAGGCAGCACCGCGCCTGGCGCGGGACTAGAGAATGAGCAGGGAGAGCCCGGGGCTCGGGAG